ATCCACTTTTTATATATCTCTGTAGTGCCAAAGATTTTTTTCAGGGACATACTTTCATCGGGGACTTTCTGTCATTTCCCGCATTCGTTTGATGAAACGAATTTTTGAATGATATTTTTTAATGCAACGGGTTTTTCTTTAATTTTTTTTAAAATCACACTATATAATTTAAGAAAGAAATTATTTATAAACTTTCGTATTGCTTTCATGATATTAAGAATAAAATATTATTGATAGATTTCAAATTTCTCTCTGTGGATTAATTTACAAAGTAAGCGTACGTAACTTTCATAAGTTTTTCAGAAAATGACAAAATTTTAATTTTTATTTCTAGCAATACGAATAAATTAGGACATAGTATACAATATAAAATTATTTCTTACATTTTAATCCAGAAGTAACGAAATATGTCACACATAATTGCAATTTAATATTCGACGCCGGGAACTGAAAAGAGGGAGCTTTTAAAAAGAAGATATGAGCTATATTGTTACTTTAATTAACAAATATTTGTTTCATTGTTACAAATTATTTGGCTATTCCATAACAATACACTAAAATTTGCTTCTAATCAGATATTCTGCATTGTTCATATTTCAACAATATTTTTCTTGTTTCAACCGGGGGGAGGGGGGGGAAGGAAATAAGGAGTATGCGCCCACTGGCCATTTTATAGCTTAATATAGGGGTGCCTATATTAAGCTATAAATAAATTGAGTACAAAATGGTCATCTGGTTCAAAACTAATTTAGAGAAAGCTATAGAAATACATGTCAATGCATATTTATGTAGGGGATAGAGGGAAGAATTCTGTAATTTATCAGATAATATTTCTCTAAAACTTTCGATAAAACACCCTTGATTGTTAAAATAAGGTTAATTTAATGAAAAAGCGAATTCTTTATATACATTTTAAATGTTATTTAAAAGTATTAAAATTATTTTTATTTAGTGTTCTTTATAATTATAATACATATATTATATTTTTATGAATTGTTACATATTTTAACTGAAGCTTTTAAATTGCATTTTTAAAAAAAATTTCCTCCTGTTTAAACGAACAAATGATTCTGTAGGGATAGTTTAGATACATTTTTATGCGCTACTGATACTACTGTGGGCATTCGCATATTGAGTTTTCTGTAAAAGTTTAGTTACGTCTAACGCATCAAGTCTTATGATATTACAAATTTAGTTTAATTTTGTAGGGTAATTGGTTTTTCTCAATTTTTTTTCGTCTTTTTAGATTTCTTATTAAATTTGATTTATTTTTGTCAGGTGAGAAATTTAGCGAAAATTATGCGTGAAAAGAATGCATTAATAGATTAAAATTTTTCTTTTTCAAAACTTAGATGACCTTTTCTATTTATTTACATTTCATGGCTATAGTAAAATGCGTCCTTTCTAAATCCTAGCCGTACCAAGTTCCTGTTCTCAGGAAAGATATATGTTTCACAGTTCACATAATTTATTTATTTGTTATTTTGCCTTATTCTAACAAAACAGTCAAATAACCATAAATAATGTAGCATTCATACTGAAAACTTTTTAAAAACTGTTTATTAACTGCTTTCACAAGAATACGGTAAAACAACAGGAATTTTATCACACCAACTAGGCCCACCCAATGAACTTAGTTTCTTGCAGATGCACATCATAGCCGATAGGGCTAATCTATCAAACTCATTACCAACCGAACAGGGGTTCAAGTAACAGCGTTGACAACACAATGCTTCTTTCATTCCCTTCAACACATGAAGAGTTTCCAGTATCCTGCTGTTGTTATTGTAGCAGTTCATTTACGTCACACTGGCGCTACACAATGGGCTATTGGCGACGGTCTGGGAAGCATCCTTGAGGATGATCCGAAGACATGCCATCACAATTTTGATCCTCTGCGGAGGAGATGGCACCCCCGCTTCGGTAGCCCGACGACCTGCGCGCGAAGTCGAGCTCTTTACGGTAGAACAGTTTAACGTGAACCAATACCGCCCACCCTCGGTCCTTACGCAAACTGATCCAAGTGGTCACTCACCCGCACACTGACCGCAGCCTATGAGGCTTGACTACGATGATCTGCTGGGAACCGTGTTTTAACGATCAGTCCACGGCGGGACTCCAGTATCTTGCACTTCCTAGTAGTGACCCTTGGCTATTAATTGGCTATTGGTGATACCCTCATTCACGCATAGATTGCACCACCATAGAATTGCTTAATGCACAAAAAATTCTAGTATTTCCTATCGATTACGACAGGTGAAATAACTAGATAAACTAATTAAACCTCATTCCGCAGTTCATTTGATGAAGCACAAGTCAACCACAACCCTAACTGCAATGCCCATTTTCCAACGAAAAGCCTAGATCCAATGTACAGTTAAATTTTTTTTACGGTTTTGAAACCATGCTTGTTGTAAGTGGTTAAAACACCACATAGCTTTTGTATTTATGATTTTTTAACCATACTAGTTGTAAACAGTTTCAAAACCGCGAAGGTAAAAAATATTTTTTACTTTAAACATTAAGGTTTATTGGAAGGACAGACTACTGTCGGCTATTTTACGGTAATTTTAGGAGGAAAATTCTAACAGTTTGTGATGGAAATGATGTGTCTCACAGTTCAAATTTAATTTTGATTTGCTTAACTGTTTTATAAAATTAAATCAAAATTCCACTTTATTAATGCTTTTTGTACAAATTAAACATTAGAAATAGATTTCTAATGTGTAGTTCGTCTTTGAAACTGACTTTTTAACAGTGGTATTACAGTTTAGTTCATAATTACAGATTAATATTTATGTTGCCGAATATTAAATAGAAACGTTTTTAATAATATTTTTGTGACACTTTAGTTCTAATGTCAATTTAATTAAATGTGAAAAATCTGTAATGTTTCCTATTCACTTCCTTCAAGTCTTATAAAACCACAAGTTCGACTGTGCTTATATGCTGAAGTTTCGAAACAAAACTGCTAATGTGCAAATAATGGAAGATTGCAATCATTTGAATTACCGCGATACTGTCGGTGATGCATTTATATAACACAAAATAGATTTTGCAACCTTCTAAAGGTTGACTTACACTTTAAACCCCTCATTACACCATATTCATGTGCTGGCTCTTACCGTGGATACGAAGATTAGTCACTTCGAATCGGAGTGGTTGCGTTGGTTTTGGTTGAGAAAGTCATACCATTTTTCCAACGTTCTCCATTAGAAATAGTTTTACTATAGTTTCCATAACAGACAACATCAACATTATAGTCGGGCTGAGTTCTCGTGATTGTTATTCAATAGATTGGTTCCTGCTGCTACAGTGACAGGTTTTTAAGATTTAAATGAGTTTGATAGTATTGATGTAGTTTGAGCACGAGAGGAATAGTTTCTCCATAGTAGTGATGGAATTTGGAGTTTTCAAGATCATTTAACGAGTGTACCGAGCTCACCGGACTTTCACCGACAGCAGTGCTGACGTAAAATATGCTCAGTGGTAGACGGATCATGGGTTAGAGTCCCCTTGCCGCCAGACTAACCGTGGGAGGTTTTCGTTGTTTCCCTCTCCATGTAACGCAAATGCGGGTTAGCACCATCAAAAAGTCCTTCCCGAAGGAAAATTTCTCGCAATACTTAATCCAGGAGTTCCCTTGTCTTCTGAATTGGGTTCAAAATTACAAGGCTTTGGAGTTGAACATCAGTAGTCGTAAACCCAAAAATTTAGTTTGCAATCCAACGACGGTTATAAAATAAAATAAAATAAAATGTATTCAATACTTATTTCCTTTATTTATGGATAAACACTTTGACTACGTGACTATTTTCATCAGTTAACGATTTTTTAATTTGTTCAATATTTTTTATATGCAGCTACTGTCGCGATAGCAACGCATGCAATGATGACGCATGCGCACTGTTTACTATCCCTCTTGATGTTGTTGTAGTTGTTGTAGTTAATTTACGTCGCACTAGAGCTGCGCGATGGGCTATTGACGGCGATCTGGGAAACACCACTGAGGATGATCCGAAGACATGCCATCACAATTTTGATCCTCTGCAGAGGGGATGGCACCCCCGCCTCGGAAGCCCGACGACCTGCACGCGAAGTCGAGCACTTTACGGTAGAACAGTTTAACGAGGACCAATACTATCACTCTTGAGCACAGTTGAAAAGTGTGATGACATCCAAATAAGGTGTGCACGCCATCAAACCCAAAACAACGTCCATTTTGCAATGGGTAAAAAAAAAAGAAAAGAAAAAAGCGTAGTTTATGTACAAAATTGTTATGGGAGGCAGCAGACCCGTCTTTGCAAGATCCTAGGCGAAATATTTTGCTTGTTCTTTTAATATTATCCTTTTGATGGACTCATAGGTTAATGGACCACTCAGATTCTCGTCAGATTTTCTCAAAGTTTTCCAAATTGGTTGCATCATTGCCCTGAAAAACAGGCAACTTAAAATTTTTTATTTCTATTATTGATATCATTATTTTAAATTTTATCGTTTAATTTTCATCAAAAATTATTTCAAATGTGTGACCCTTAGAAATGAAGAGAATTGTTTCAGTAATTAGGTAAAGATATTTAAATCATACTTTTTAAATTTATTATCTGATTTTTGGGAATAGAAATGTAGAATATCTGTTTCCATTGTATTTATCTAAGAAGGTTGAAGTAGAAATTTTAGCACGAAAAATAATTATTAAAAAAAAAAAACAGAGTTTTTATGACCCAAAAATATTTTTTACACCCCTACAACCCTTAACTCTGAAGCCCTGGGCAAATGCCCCACTCTTACGACAATTCTGGAAAGCATCTTCCCCCCCCCCCTTTCTATTTCAAGTTCAATGTAAAATCAGTTCTTAAAAAGAAGAATGTAACAATGGAGTTTGTTGAATTTCAATGCAGACATAAATAAAAGAAAGTGAATTCCCGGTGTTGGCGTAAACAAAAGATAGTTTCTAAAACGTTTGATTGGAGTGAGTTTATTTCCCTTCTAGGAAGAAAATTTGAGACGCGGGAAATCCAACAGACAAGAGGAGGAAGCAGGGATTTTCCACAAATGCTTGTTTCGTTTTGTATTTATATCAGTTTCGGTTGTAGAGATTTCATCATAGTGATAGTTTCGATCAGCAAGCATCAGTTTAGAGATAATAGCAAAAGTAAGTAGCGTTTCGCTCTCTCTTTTTTAAAATTCCTTTTTTAAAGTAAACATTGATTTAAACTGTAAATTTTTTTTTTTTCATTTTAAAACGATTTTTTTTTCTGAAAAAGTATTTATCATGATTTGGTTTCGAATTAAATTTATTTTATTTCCTATTTTATAAAAAAAACAAAAATTTTGTCTGAAAAGATTTTTTTCACTATGAAGTTCTGAACAAAATGATTTATTTTAAAAATAATTTAGAATGTTTCGTTCCTAGTTACTTATCAAAATAAGGACAAATTATACCCTAAAATATTATTTAATTTCGCAAATAAATAAATAAGGAAATAAATAAGTAAATAAATAAATAAATAATGAAATAAATAAATGAATATGCTCAAAATAGATTTTTTTTATTCTCATTAAAATGATAGAATTAGTTTATTGTGAAACAATGACCTATTCCTTCTTTTCACTAACTAATTCCTCACAAAATACCATCAAGTAAAATATCAGTGGCAAGACTGGACCTTATGTTTCAGCTATACAAATCCTTAAATCATGATCAATTAAATTTGAATCAATATGATCAATTAAAAGTGAAGCTTGTTAAATAATTTATTTAAACACAAAACAGAATTTAGCCATCAAATAAATTATTATCTGCAATATCTTATATCATACAATAGAAACGCATCCCTTATTCTGTTGTTTCTTATATACCATCTATTTACGAGAGACTGTTCTTGTAGCTGGCCATGCCCGATCCCGCTCTGCTCTGAAACTTATCTTCACTTTTTAATGTTTCCTTGATCTCTGCGAATCTTTCTTTCCTGCTCCCACTGACCCTTAACGTTGTGTCCACTCTTTCCTTTAATTTTAGTACAACAAAATCTTCAAATTTCTTACCATAACTTTCGGGAGCAGTATAAAAAGTTAAGTTAAACCGTGTAAAAGTATTGTTATAATTATAAAGCGTTAAGCGAGATTTATGAAATTTTTTTTTATATTTTCTCGAAGAAAAGTCTAAATATATTGTAGATGCAGATTTTTCAAAAATCTTTTTTTCTAATATTTATGTTTTAATATTCAAGTTGAATTTTGGGTTAGATCTTGGCTCATAATTTAGAATGACTCAAAAGGTGCAAAATGGTTCCAAAAGCGAATTTTTTTTTAAATTTATTTTTTACCGTAAGAAATTATGCTGTAAGTACATTTCAATATTTTTGATATTGTATTTATAAAATGCATTATACTAATGTTATTAAAAATGAAATTTAATTTAAATGTTTTGGCATTTATTTTATGAACATTTCAAAATGTAACGTGCATTGGAATTTATTTACATCTCCTCGTAAAAATTCGATTTTTGTTAAACATTCAAAAATTAATCGTATATTCTCAATTAATCTGAATTAGTTGAATAATGAATGAATTATAATATAAAATAATGAATTATTATAATATGAAGTATTACAATATTATGATATAAATTATGCTTAGCCTAAGAGTTAGACAAAATTGAAAGATATAGATTGATAGAAAGTGTTTAACCTAAGAGTTTGAAACCATAGAAAATAGACAAGAAAATGCCATAGCTTTAAATTATAAATACATTCTAATTGTTGCAGTTAGTGAATTCATGAATCATCACTTATTTTCAAGTTGCAAATAGTACTTAATTTTTTTTTCTATGAATTATTTTTCAGAATTTAACTATGTGCTTAAATTTTTTTACAGGGATGAGATTGCTCACTTCAGTTTTATTTCTTGTTGTCTGTGTTCTGTTTTACATTAATTCAGCTGAATGTCAGTTCAATTTTATGAAACAAGCTGGTCAAGGTGCTCGGGATATGTGGAGGGCTTATTCTGACATGAGAGATGCTAATTGGAAAGGAGCAGACAAGTACTTTCACGCACGTGGAAATCATGACGCAGCTCAAAGAGGACCAGGCGGTAAATGGGCTGCAGAAGTGATCAGGTAGTCAATTTATTCCTCATTATTAGAAGTAAAATAACCTAAAAATTAAATTTAGTTAGGAATGGAAAAATGAATGTATTAAGAAGAATGCTGAAAAATCCTGTATTCATTCAGTGTCTTCCTTTAAAAAGTACAAAAACCATTAAAAAAAGAAAATTATTAAATTTTCTGCTACGATATTCAAATTAAACTTTTTCAATTAGTTATCAAATACGATTCATTACAAAAAAAAATCTTTAATTTTTTTCCCGCACGTATAAAGGAATTGCTTAAATATACTAATATCTTGCTCAAATTTTAGAGGTTACTTTATTTATTTATTTATTTATTTTTAAATTTTCAGCTTTTTTTTACAAGTTTTGAAATAGAGCCGTGATGGCTCAGGGGATAGAGCGTTCGCCTTCTAATGAGGCTTGCCGGGTTCGAATCCCAGTCGATACGAATTTCGCCTCCGGCTTGAACCAATCACAGTGCTGACGTGAAATATCCTCAGTGGTAGACGGATTATGGGTTAGAGTCCCCTTACCGTCAGGGTGACCGTGGGAGGTTCTCGTGGTCTTCCTCTTCATGTAACGCAAATGCTGGTTGGCTCCATCAAAAAGTCTTCTACGAAGGCAAATTTCTCCCAATACTTGATACAGGAGTTACCTTGTCTTCTGAACTGGGTTCAAAATTACAAGACCGCGGAGTTAGACATTAGTAGTCGGAAGCCTGTAAAATTGAGTCAGCTGTTAAGGACGGTTATAAAATAAAATAATAGTTTCGAAATAATAATTTTACTATTAATTAAGAATTGCTCCAAGAGTTTTGTCTTATTGTATTGAATGCCTTTAAAATTATAGCAAAAAATCATAAGACAAAAAGATTAGTTTTTTCATAAAAATCTCCATAAATATTTAGGCTAGGTATACGAAATTTCATACAATTATTGTAAATAATAACCACAGCAATCGATACAAGTTACTAGCTTATTGCTGTATTTTCAGGCATAGAGTGTTAAAAAAAAATCTTGTTTTCGTTCATAATTTATTACCGGTCTCTCAAATCTCAGAACGCCTTAAACTTTATCGATAAGTATGAGAAATTTTAAAACTTAACATTTCAAAACTATAATATAATCCTCTAAACATTTCTTGAGAAATTTGAAAAAGCTGTATGAAGCTTAAATCTGTCTAAAACTAAAGGTCTCCATTATTGTAGGGTAATGTAAATAATTGATTTAGAACTTAAAGCTTGTATTTCCAAATCTTAGTATCGCCAGCACAAAGCTTCAAAATACTTATGAGTTTCGACCGCATAGTGCTCTCTCTCTTTTTTTAAAAAATTTTATTTTTATTCTTTCATTTTGTAAGCAAACTAGAATTTATCTGTGATTTTTCAAACATAGTAAAAGCATAACTGATCATGAACAAGACATGCAAATATTAACGAAATTCTTTTATCGATTTTTTATCGATTATTTTATCTTTCATCTATTATTTTATCTTTTATCTATTATTAATTTGATTTTCATTAATTTCATTAAAATTTATTAAGACCATAATTATAATTTTAAAATGATGAAAAATTTGTTAGTTTTAAAAACATGCAACAAAAGGAAAATACTGTTTGCAGTCACTGGGGTATCTTAAAGAAACTCTGAACTATAAGCTTCTTATACACGGTGTACCGTATAGGCCGTTCTTAATGCATCTTTTTGGAATCTTGGTTAAAAATAAAGATTAAATAGCAAACACATTTTGTGTCACAAATTAAACATTTTAGTGGAGGTGAAAAGCTGTCGAAATCTGACAAATCATTATAAAGAAAATGGGTGTAACATAATAATTATACCGATTGATTGTTGGTTAAATCTGGAAGATGCTTTTCCATCAATCGTCTTTCAACTTCTCTCAATTTATTAATGGAATCAAACTGGTTTCGGTATTTCATACACTCGCCTTCACAAATTGTGGCTTATCAGATTTCGGTGTTCTTTCCTCAATTAAACATTCATTTTCGACCCTTAATGTGTATAATATTTCATTACTATATTTGAAAGCGAGTTTAAAAATATATATTAAGTGTACATGTACACTGTTAAGAATTTCTCGTAACAAAATGGTTAAAAACAATTTATTTAATTGTCTTTTTTTTACCATATTTAAACGAAACAGTCAAATAACTATAAATAAGATCGCATGCAAACTGTTAACTGTAAGAATACCGTTTATTAACTGCTTTCACCCAATGCTGTTCAAGAACCAGAATTTTATAACACCAACTAGGCTCACCTAATGAAGCCACTTAGTTCATTGCAGCTAGGAGCATATTATTAGCGAGATTATTAGATAATCTGTCAATCGCGCAATTTCCAATTAAATCTTGGCATTCAAGTGTCAGGAAAATGACTGTCAGAAATTATAACACTTTACAATTTTATTTCTTTGTATTTCCATGCTCTTCTACTTTTAGACCAAACACTTTTTAAAAGAGCTTAGGCATAATAATATAGATTAAGTTATTAATGATATAGAGAAAGCAGAAAATGACAGCATAAAAACCTGCTTGATATTTATAATCTCTTTAAATTGCTTTTTTTCCCCTTCAAACTCTCATCTTTCTTCACACTGGAAGATATATTTCACAAAGTGATTTGCCAATCATACATTTGAGTAAAATAATTAACGCTAGCGTTATTCATTCAAGTTATAGAGAAATAAAAACAAAGTGCAGAGGAATATAACATATTTTGGTGTGACATGCAAATTGCCGACTAAAAAACTTATTTTAACAAAATTATTCTGAAAATAATTCCTTGTACATATATTCCAGAAATGCTTTTAACCATTTAGAAGTAAAGATTTAGAAAGGGAAAAACGTATATGCAGTTTTGAAGCTAGTAATTTCCGACAATATCGCTTGTAACACGCCAGGAAAATGACATTTTGAAACTCAGCATACGATTTTAAACGTATATAATTGTTAAAACCAGTATAAAATCATTATAAAATGCTAATAATAATAGAATTAATTAAAATTAAAAAAAAAATTCTTCTCTTTAGATCTATGTCTAAATTGAGAAAGTACCCTCATGAATGAGTAGTATTGCCATCTATCAGTGGGGTTTTGAACTAAGATGTACTCTTACCCTTGCGGTGTTCTCCTGTCAAACAAAATTAGCATAATTCTGACTTAATTCACAAGGTTGATGGTTGTCGAGTTTTGCATTTCCAAGAGTAATTAGAAAAAAAAATGCATCATATTATTCTATGATATTCGTATTGATATGTATCTGTAACCTTGTATGATGCTATTGTATAATTCCGTAGCAATTAAGTGTAAATTATTGTATTTTGTGAGAATGATCAATATATGGTTATTTCGTTAAGTATCTTTTTTAATTTCTGACAGCAATACTAGAGAAGCCTTTCAAGGTCCAAATACAGCCGATTCCAAAGCTGACCAGGCAGCAAATAAGTGGGGAAGAGAAGGTGGCGACCCAAATAAATTCCGCCCGAAAGGTCTTCCGGATAAATATTGAAGATTCTAACAAGAAAGAGGACGCAAGTCATTTATGAAGAAAAAACAAGGCAGAAGCAGCAGCAGCATTCAAATCAAAACATCTGTTCATTTAAATAAATCCAAAGCACAATTTTAAATATGCATCTTGTTTTTGCTTCTTTTTTTTGTATTTTTAACACTTTCTACTATCACGATCTAGTAACTGAAGGTATGCATATAAATTTTATGTATAATGAAATATACAAACTAGTTAGAAGAAAATATGTACAGGGGGTGGACAAAATAATGGAAGCACTTCTACACTAATAAATTTTTTTATATTTCTCAAGAAGAACATAAATAATCATTTATATCTTCAGAAATGTTTAGATCCTGTGATTTCTCATACATATCAATGAAGTTGAAGATTTAGAGGTTTGAGGGACCGATAATAAATTACAATTGGAAAATGATGTTTTTGAACACTCTATTCCAAATATAGCAACAAGCTCGTAACAATTATTTTGGATATTATATGCAATAATTGTGCAACATTTTCTAAATCTACCTTAAATTTTATTAAAATATGGGTATTTTTATAAAAAAAACTAATTATTTTTGTCTTCCATTTTTTTTGTTATAACTTTAAAAAATCAATAAAATTAAACAAAATTTTTGGAGAATTTAAAATTAATTATGAAACTATTGCTTCAAAATTAAAAACGAATTTGTGTAAGATATAAATAATTAAAATAGATCTTTTATACAGCGCATTACGCAGAAAAATTAAAAAATATTTCAGAATTCTGTTGTGAATTATATTTGGCGACTAATGATAAAAGTCCAATTATAATATCTTGAAACTGTAAAAAGTTTCACCCATTTTCTTAATAGTTTCTGTATTTTTAAAAGAAAGCTCAAATGATAAGGGGTTTTCTAAAAATATTATTTTGTATCATAAAACAAAATTTTTCAACAAATGATAATACTCTAAAATGATGATCCAGAGGACAAAATGTGATAGTTTTAAGAAATAAAACATGGGAAAGAAACGATATTTGGGATGATCCTCAACAATGCCGATGTCATTTTTAATAAATCTTGTTTAATAGTAGATTATGAAATTTGTGGAAAACCTGTTATAATTTTTTGGTTTCTTTTTAAAAGTGCGAAAACTACTTAGAAAATTGATTAAAACTTTTAAAATTTTTAGGATATTCGAATTGGACTATTTTTATTAGTTGCCAAATGCGATTCACATGAAAATTAAGAAAACAGAAATTGAATTTTTTTTCTCCTCATGTGCAGTATAAAAAAAACTTAAGTTGCGCATTGCAATCATAAGTTGCGCATTTTAAACAAATTTTCTCAAATTTTAAATAAATAATTCTGCTATTAATTGCAACAAAATTGTTGTTCAATTTTATTGAACATTTAAAAAAAATAAAAAGAACATCCTTACATTTTTTTGAGAGACTTATTCTTATATCAACTCTTTTAATTGGGAGGATACATGGAATTGTAGGGTATTTGCCTGCCTGTCTGTCTAAAAGAAATAATTTTGTGGCTTTTTTCCCCTCACACTTCTGCTAACACAAGCCGTCTGCAATACGTTGGAGCGTTACTGAGTAAAAATTTTGCAAATAATAAACTGAAAAAACTGTGACTATAAATGTAGTTGAGATGGTTAAAAGAAACAGAACTTAGCTATATTTTTTAAACTATGTGTCGAGTCATATCTTAGGCACATTTTGAAGCAACCTTTATTATTAAAAAACACAAAAGTATTTTCGATTAAAAAATCTTTATTTCCACAAAAACTCAAAACAAAAAATATGAACATTACAATATGTAATATACATACTGTATAATAAATTGATTTATATCCATTTGGTGAATTAAAAGTACTTATTCACTATTTGCAATTTCTGTACTATTTTCTCAAATATTGAGAAAGTAGTGATTGATAAGAAAAAAGCTCTAATGCTTCATTAAATGTAACATGAGTCATAACGTATGTCAAAGCCCATTGTCCTTTATAAGAATTGATTAAGAACAAGAAAAATGAAATTTAGAGCAATTGAAACCCTTTAATCGGCATCTTTCACCTTTTAGTATATCCAGAGTTAATGTTTTTCTGCAAATAAAGATGAAGTGGAAGTTAAATGTTAAACTTTCCAGCTGTTTCATAACAAATTTGTCACCACTTGTTTTAAAAAAACTGAAGAAATTTCTATGGTGTCAGTAAATTTAAGTGTTTAAAAAAATAATTTAAAACCTGTTGAGTTTTCCTTTGGAATTAACTACAAATGGATTAATAGATTAAAAGTTGAAAAAAGTAGTTTCTCAAACATTGAGAATATTACACACAATTCTGATCACACAGAATAAAGTTATATTTGTTCGGATCTAAACTAAACATTTTGAAGAATCAATCAAGAGTTTCTTTTCTGCTTCTAAATTCATACGAATTAAAATGAATTTGACTTCATTTAAAGCAATATTTCACTTTAAGTGATTTCGCGTTAATGAGGTTCGACTGTACTTGAGTACTGTCGACCGTACAACAGCAGAATAGCTATTTTCGTAACAGTTCAGAATACTGTAATAGCTGACTTACTTTTACGCAAAAGTAGCCGATTTTACAATGATTCTAAAAAACATATAACAAGGGCAATATTTCGATAATACCTTGTCTTTGCTAAGTAAAAGCAGAAATTAGAAATAAGTTTTTTTCAGATTAAATGAGACGCATGTTTCAATTCTTCAAAATATTAAGTAGTTTTTCCAGCATGTTTCATTATGAGGAGAGGTTCAAATAATACGTTGACTTCTAAAAAGTTGTAATTTCTGGTTTTTAAGTAATAAGCTAAATTTTATCCAAAAAATTTCTTGCAAAATATACAAATAATAATAATTAAATTTGGGGAAAATATATTAAATTTTTTTTTATAACAGCATATTAAATTCTTTCCGATTTGCTTATTTTTCCTTACTAAGGAGAAAGATTATGTAAGTTATCAATAATATGCCTACGTAGTATTTGAACTGCTCCTCATAGATGCAACCGGTTATAATCGTTCAATGAGAACATCCGGCAAATTGTGTCCATTTTCACTTATATATCTGTCTTCCACAACTTTCCAAAATTGATCATATTTTACATCATGCTCATAGGCTTCATTTTCTACTCCATCTTTATAGGCATTTTCTTCCAATGAATCCCAAGGCTGCAGATTTGCAGAACCGCAGAAATGAAACACAATTCCACTTACCGAAACGACTCCAACTGATATGTAAATCACCACATTCCACTGTGCCAAAGTTTGCTGCAATGTAAACTTTAATTAATAAAAAATAATTAAAAATTTAGAGATACAAGATACCACGAATATCAGGATCTAACGTAATTTAAGTTACGAAGGTTACGAAGAGCAATTAAAAAATTACAGAAACTTTCTAAATGATCCTTTGACACTAGGATCACTGTATCTAACATAATTTAGAAAGTTCAGACAGGCAGTTAAAAAATTGCAAGAAATTTCTAAATGATCCATTGATATTAGAAACACTGCATCTAATGCAATTTAAAAAGTTATGACAAGCAGTTAAAATACTGCCTAAAATTTCTATATGATTCGTTGATACAAGAATCACTGTATCTAACGTAATTTAGAAAGTTTCAACAGGCAGCTAAGAAATTGCAGGAAATTTCTGAAATATCCATTGGTACTAGAACCACTATCTAACACAATTTAGAAAGTTGCGACATTAAGTTCAAAAACTTGCGGGAAACTTATAAGTGGTCCGTTGATAGTAGAATCATTATATCTAACGTAATTTAGAAAGTTACGGTAAACAGCTAAAGAAATTTACGGAAATTGAAGTAGCGAAAGTTAGTTACTACTTTTTATCGAATTTTTTCTAATATTTCCTCCTAATAGCTTCGTACTTCGCTTCAAAATAATTCAATTATATTAGGCTTCACTTCATTTAATTAATAAATTTTTTATTTTTAACCAGCCTGCGAACAATTTCACATTGTACTAAAGTTGTGTTAGTATCATACATTTTTAAATTAATTTAGTTTTTTTGATTGAAATATATCTTTATTTTTAGTTTATTTGCAGATTTTCTGCTGAAAATAACTTTTCAGCAAGACTAACTAACATTGTATAAAGAAATGAACAGCTTATTTGGCACTTAATTACGCAAATAACTTGACAAAAATGCCAAGTATAGCTATCATACATTTTTAAAGCTATTAATTTCACAAAAATTATTGGTATTTCAGATAATCTCATCATATAAAAGATACTTTAGAGGGTTGGAATTATTTTTAAAATCAAGAAGTCTACTAGATAGCGATATTTAGTACGTCACTCAGTGATAAGTTAGCGAATAACAGATTGCTACCTGCTTGTGGTATCTCTTTAACTACTTTATGTACAGAGACACTTGTTAATTCAAAAAAGAGTTGTTGCTCAAAAATAAATACCTGATGAGTTAGAGCTCCAACAATTAATGGGATAAGAAAACCAGATAAGCTAGCAATAGTTGCAGCCAAGCCAAACAGTGTACCTGAAAAGTTTCAAGTTGAAACGTTACGAAGAAGCAACTTATAAGTAAATGTGATTAAAAATAATTGAAGCTACAATATGAAGAGATCTCTATTTAATTATCTTAATGTATTTACTTAGTAAATATAGCGTTGATGTACATAAATTTTACTGCGCAATAATGTTAGATTCAAAATGAATAGGACAAAAAGATGCACTACCTACAATTTAATTTATAATAAATTAAATTAACAATTATAGCGTGAAAATACAAGTAAAATGTTCTTTAAACAATATTCATTTTAAATTTATTCAAAACAAGTCGGGCTAAAAAAAGTGCGAACAACAATGCAATTTAATTCATATAATGGGTATACTTTGTAAATATAGAGTAAATGTGCAACTATAGAAATTTTTAATTTTTTTAAAATTAGTGGGGCAAAAAGGTGAACAGTAGGGGAGAGTGGGGTCAATTGTAACATTTTTTACTTAACTATTTTTAACTAACAAAAAATCCAATATATTATTAGTATTAATTGACAGACCAGTAAAGTAGACTATCCTCTACTAGAAAAAAAAATAATACCTTATTTTAAATGTTATTATATTAGTTATTAACAATTTTTGACAGTCGTGCACTTGTTACAATTGTCCCCACTTACGGGGTCAATTGTAACAGTTCATAAATTCAACTAAAACATAGTTAATTATACATATTATCATAGTTGTGATATATTTTTTTATTGATCAAAATAGTAGTGATATTTTAGGAGTAAAAATAATAATAAGCAGAGACCTAAAGGGTTAAACTTTTAACTTTAAGGGGTTAAATTTTTAATTTATGCTGTGAAAGGTAACAAATAAAATAATGCACATGCAACATAATATAAATGGTTAGGAAACTATTGGTGGTTCTTAAAGAGTTAAGTAATGGCTTGTAAACATAAGATTACTCATTTTCAGCTGTCACAATCGTCCCTTTACTTATTGTTACAATTGTCCCCAAGACGCCATTTCAGCTTCATTTGTTAAAAACTATGCTAGTAAATTAACAAAACTAATCTTTTTTTTTGGAAATGTTAATTAAGGTGTCCATTTACGTATTCGGTTAATAATTTTTATTTGTTTAAACAAAATTACTTTGTTACAATATAATATTCTAATACCAAAAAAAGTACTTACGTAGCGTGAAAATATCTTTTGTGATGTAACTTCTTCAAAAGTACATAAAAATGGTTACCGGCAGGGGTGTACATGTAGATCTATTAAATACACCTTGTGCGCCACCTAGGAACCAAATCTAGAACCCGACACTCGAAATTTTTGTTCTGTTACAATCGTACCCTGTTACAATTGACCCCATTCTCCCCTATACAATTCACGTTTGGGTTAGTCGAAGTAAGTTAGGCATACAGGAAAGATGGGTACATCTTCAAATTTTCTATTTGACATAAAAGACGGCAATATAGTGGTCGAAAAATGAATCTAAGCAACACAGAGGTGTGCAAGTGTAAGAAATCATTAAGAAAAAGCAACAGATCACTGCTGGTGACATTAAATTGCGTAAAAAAGTAAGATCTATTGATTTTATTAAAGTTTAATGACATTAGATAAGTTGCAGACGACGGTAATTCGATGTTCGAAGTGTTATGGGGGAAGTAAGTCAAGCAGGAATCAAAGTCTTTTTACATGTTTGAACTGGGAATCACGTGTTTACTATTTATGAATCAATTCATTCAAATTTACAACCTGAGCGTAGAGGAACACGGTGCAGTGGTGGTAAGCTAAGCACATCTGCACTTTGAGTGAGAATGCCACTTTCTCACTCAAAGAAGTTTCTATATTACTGTGACACACATTGTAGGGTCGTATTCGACAAATTAAATTAAATTAAATTAAATTAAATTAAATTAAATTAAATTAAATTAAATTAAAAAATAAAGTTTTTTGATCAACTGGATTTATTAGTGATTTCGACAAAGATCTTGAATTGACGATCTAGAGCAATATCTTTTGATAATGAAAAATATTAAATTTCCGTACATGAAATATGATCTTTAAAAATTTACCGGAATTTACAATAACCTCCACAGGTTTAACAGATAAAAAAATTCGAGTAGTTACAATTGTGTTTACTTTTTTTTCTATCAACATCCTCGAGTCGTTGAAAAATAAAATCTGTCAAGATTACCAACTCTTGGCCTAGATGGGAGCTTAGTGTAAGCGTAATATGATATGTAAAAATGAACTATGTCTAGTAATCTGATAAGCGACGCTTTCTATCACTACAATAGAGGACGAAAATCAATAATTAAGAAGTTATAATAATTTTACACACAAAAGTTTGTACTTATTTACTCATCTGATATTGCTATATAGACAGATAATTTTAGTTTCTTAAATTGAATTGAATTTTGGGACTTATACTAGCATAAAAGTTGCAACGGTTCTTATAGAAAAAGAACTAATTTTGACTTACACTTATTCACGCTTTTCTCCTTCACTTCTCACTCTAGAATTTGGTCTTACTCGTGAACACTGTCTCATTACTCTAGATAGCTTTGAGATATCAGAGTTAAAAGTGTAAATATGTTAATGAGATAATTGGCATTTTTTATTCATTAAACCATTGCTATCAATTTGATTGACTCGTATTTGGCCACCTTCAATTTAGCTTAAAAATGTAGGGGAAAATACCTCATTTGTCTGGATAGCAATATTTAAGTTTCTTTACCCCATTTCCCAAATCTAAACCTACCGCCCGAGATTAGGTAATTTTTTTATAATTTACTAATAGAAGGGCATTAAGTAATAGTTTAAGTTTGTCAGTGGGCAAAACATTTTTTTATTTCACTTTCAAACCACCCTATTTTTACTGTAATATTAACGATATATTTACGAAGTCGATAAAATAAAACACTTACGTGAATACAAGTTTAGTGTAGAAGTAGAATACAAGTTTTAGAGTATCCGTTTTTACTAGTTATTAAATTCTTTTTTTTGCTTCTGTTTTATAGGAAACGCGAAAATTTGGAGCTACATTGCCTTTGCGGAGATTATTAAAATACATTGGTTAGTAGCATTTATTATACACTGGATCATTTATGTTTCGTTATTGATCAGTACGATCCTTATTGTTTAAATATTATTTTACAACTAGGAAAATTAAAGTTAAATTTTTATAAATGCATTTGAAAGCTGTTGTTCGATACCTGCAAAATTTGCCGTCATGTCTAGCGCTACAATACAGCTTCCAGAATATCCAATTCCAACAGATATAATAGCGATGAAGAAACCTACGGTATTCAGAGTTCGATCACATCCGGCTACTGAAACTCCAATCAAACCGAGGCAGAAAAAAAGACAACCTATTTAATTAGAGAAACATATGTAAATCTTTCATTAGTTTATATCATAACAGTCTGAAAATATCTCCCTTACATCTTAAATACTTCAATAAAAAAAAGGATTAGTTTGTTTGGTGCTTTAAGTACTATCGAGTACTATGGCTAAAATAATTACATACAGCTGCTTTGATATTCTTGTTAATAGTCTATCGTGTATTGTCCTATGGTCCAGTCTGACTATAAAATGTCGAATGAATTGGCTCAATTTATGTAGTCTCTATTTAGGCTGAATAGGGCTGAAAAATATACGCAGGCTGAATTGGTCATGTCTATGCTGGCTTAATATGGACTGAACAATGGTTTTTAAACATCAGGTCGATCGTTTAATCAGGTGAATGGTTCTAAAATATCAGACTTAGATCAAGCCGTAGTGGCTCAGGGGATGGAGCGTTTGCCTCCAAATGAGCTGAACCAGTTTTAAATCCCAGCTGTGGCTGGTTGATAATAATTTTGCCTAGATCACAGTGCTTCTGTAAAAATATCATCAGTATTAGACAGATAATGGGTCAGAATTCCCTAGCCGTCGAGGTAATCATTGGTGGCTTCGTGGTTTTCCTACCCATGTAACGCTACTGCGAGTAAGTTCCATCAAAAAGTCTTCCCCAAAGGTAAGTTTGTCCCTGTTCTTGATTCAAGAGTTCCCTTGTCTTCCGGACTAGGTTCAAAATTAGAAGGTTTCTGAGTTGAATACCGATTCTAGGCAGAATGGGGTCGGATGTTCAACACCGGTTATAAAATAATACATAAATATCTTAATTAAGTAGACTTCTTAATATTACACTTCTAGACAAATCGGTACAATACTAAGCAGCAGTAGTAGTACCGCATAACATTATAATACGGTACAAATTCGTTGCAGCCTGTATAAGGTGTTAAATCGAACAAGTCTTCTTTGAAGTTGTTATTATGTTTCAGTATTAAATTAATATGGTTAAATTTATTACACTAAAAGGCTGTAGTAGAAAAAACAAGGTTCAATACGCAATCAAGTTTGTAATGGCACAGTCTACTACCGTTAAGAAACCTATGAAGTTTTAGTTGATTTTTAGTCTATCTAATCTAATTATGAGTTCGTAATTCAAGAATGACCCTCTCTGAGTCGAGTTTGTTTATTATTCCTCATGAATTTTCTGATTTGTAATTTGGGTTCAAAATATAAAGAATAGAGTGTAAAAACTTATTGCCTCAAACTCTCAGATTTATACAACAACGTATATAAATAGCACTTTGGTAAATCAAGAGATATGGTTGCAGTAACTAGGAAGTTGGCCCCATATGAAGAATGGATACGCGTGATAGTGACTGTAAATACAGTAACGATGGCAGCGACACAATAGAGATTGTAAACAAGGTGAGAGGAGTGCACTGTAGTATTCGTGCAACTGAGTCACGAAGTCGTACTAATGCGAATGCGTTTAGAGAACGTTGAAAAATAATGCGATATTAAGTGGAAAAACTTGATAGTACCATTCCTTAAGTATTATACTAATGTCACAATTTGAAATCCTTTCAATGATTTAGATCAGTATATGAAGAGTAGAAATTAATTTATCTTATATAATGATGCTTACTTGCTTTGGTTTCGGCAGAACAATTGATGAACACCAATAACAAAAAATTTCATTTAATTTGCTTATAGTTATTTGTTTATAGTTATGAACGGCATCTATTCGATGCTAAATATCTTCGATACGAAGAAAACATACAAATACCCGTTGTTTTGTTTCAGACGCATCCTTTTTTAGCAGGACTTTACATTCACTATTTATGCTCTCATGCGCAATTGTTAATTGGTTGCTACACGATCTTCCTTACACTCCGCTTACCTTAAATTATAATTTGGAAGGGTAGCACTGCTATCACTATTGTGTTTCTGACACGATTAAACGTGTTTATTTTTTCATTGGACAACACTTATACAATAAAGTGGGTATGGAAATCTTGTGCATATCGTAAATGGGAACTCACGAATAAACTAATTTCAAAATCAAAGTTGTTATCAATATTTTTGTATTAGTTTCGTTATAGGACTTATTGTTTACTTACTTAAAGAGTTGCAAAGTCTACGTGCAAAATCTACAGAAGAATATCCTTTCTTCACCACGAAAGTAGATAGATAACTAGCTAAGTAAGGTATGAGCATTTGTCCGATGTACGGAAAAGAATTCATGTAACCACTCTGTTAAAAGAAATGAAAATAATCTGAAAATATTGCTGTATCTTAAATAATTTTTCGTTATAAATTTTTTAAAAGTAGACTTTAATAGCATTTAAATGTTTCAGTGCTTTTGCTACCAGAATTGAAAGTAAACTAGTGTGACATAAAGAAAATATATTTATAATTATAATATAAAAATACTTTATTTATGTCACTATTTTTCAACTAAATAAATTTAAATGTTCTACGTTATAAAAAAAAATCTAATTTCTATTTGAACTTAGTTTTTATATTTTTTATTATTTTAAGCATTTCATACATGATTGCAAAATTTTGTGATTGTGCAAAATAAATTTGTAACATCTAATAGCCAGAATTCGAATAAGTATTGTTGTTTGCATCTAAAATTTTATATAAGATTTAATTTCAAATTTTATTAATTGTACTTAAAGTTTTAGCAATTGTTTATTATAAAAGACCAAATAACAGTTGGTATTGATAAAGAAGAAAAAAGATTTGAACTATTGGGAAAAATATTTTTTCTCTGAACACTGTTAATAATGTCCATAACGTTTTAAATCATAAATCATACGTAGCTTTAAATCATACCATACCTTGAACCTCATTGAAAAACCGATTCCAAAAAATTTCAAAGAGTTTGGAAAGAAAAGTTATTGCAGATTATAAAAGAATAAATGAGAAAATTTTAACTAGCGATTATTTTACTTACTATAAGTATTATAAGATATTATTTTCAATGAATTGAATAAAAATAAAATATATAATTTCAAAGGAAAGAAAATTTAACAATAAATTGTAAATATGTAAGCTATCTTCAAGAATATAGAAAATAGTAATCAATAAAAAATGGTGTTAAGGAATGGAAACTGTATTTCTACATTTTTAGTTGTAGTAATCGAAATGCGGAGTGTCACTAATTAAACTACGTATTCAGAGCTATAAATCAATACTCGCCACTAACAGAACTAATTTCTTAAAAACTATTTGAACTACAATTATTGTTGGTTCTATTCCCTAAAGAGATCCATCCCAATTTGACCAAATCCATAAGTCCAAAAATGTCCAGAAAATCTAAAAACAGATGAGGTTTTGAAAAAACCTCGTCGATCTTAAAATCGATACAGTTCAGAATATGCAGGGGCGAAGCCTGAGAAATACTACATTTAGTGCAAAGCCCAAAAGTCTTTCGCCCCTGAACATACGAGGGACACCTCAAGTGACCACTGGCAAAGCGAGAGAAACAAGTCTGCTGGCTTCTAAGTCCCTCAAAAAGCAAGGCACCTCCAGGACGTTTTCTGAAATACCAAATATGCAGAGGAGGAACCGTCCAGAGGTCCATAAAATTTTTTTACACTCAGCAAAGACCTCAGTAAAAGTGGAAGGCATATCTGGCTGTAAAGGTTCCAAAGAAGCATCTTTAACCATTTAAATTCAATTATTTTAAACCCTTAACTAATAAAGTTTCTAGATTTTATTATTAGGGAAAAAAATTGTTTTTTATTTTGTTCTCACTTCGATACCATACAACAGATTTCAGAACAAACTTTTGGCTGTCCTGTGATAAAAACAAACAAACCATTAATTCATTTTTATGTAAATTAAGAGCTTTTCATCTCTGTATGAGTGAAATGCAATATACTACTGAGGTAGATAGGGTAACATAGCTTTTTACCTCTGTATGAGTGAAATGCAGTATACTGCTGAGGTAGATAGGATAACATAGCTTTTTAACTCTGTATGAGTGAAATGCAATATACTACTGAGGTAGATAGGATAACACAGCTTTTTACCTCTGTATGAGTGAAATGCAATATACTACTTAGGTAGATAGGATAACATAGCTTTTTACCTCTGTATGAGTGAAATGCAATATACTGCTGAGGTAGATAGGATAACATAGCTTTTTACCTCTGTATGAGTGAAATGCAATTTACTTCTGAGGTCGATAGGATAACATAGCTTTTTACCTCTGTATGAGTGAAATGCAATATACTGCTGAGGTAGATAGGATAACATAGCTTTTTACCTCTGAATGAGTGAAATGCAATATACTACTGAGGTAGATAGGATAACATAGCTTTTTAACTCTGTATGAGTGAAATGCAATATACTACTGAGGTAGATAGGATAACGTAGCTTTTTACCTCTGTATGAGTGAAATGCAATATACTACTGAGGTAGATAGGATAACCAGTCATTAAGTAAAACATCATCCAGTATTGTCCAAACAATGCGATAAAAAAGGCCCAAGTTGCAGGTGACATCAACATTGGTTTCCAAGGCGTGACTTGAATCTATACAGAAAAATAATAATGACTTACGCAACTGAATAAGTCTCCTTAATTAAGAAGCACGAAAAATATATTAAATTAATAAAAAGCCGTGGTGGCTCAGAAGATAGAATGGTTACCCAGGTTAAAAACCCAGTCGATACGAATTGCGCAACCGGCTCGCATCTACCACAGTGTTGACGTACCTTGTTTTATGTAAAATTTCTTCCTTACAATGTCATTTATCACATTCGAATTAAGAAGTAACGTTGTTCTTAGACAATTTTTTTTAATATATAATGAATATGTGTTTTTACATAAATAATTACTACGAGTTATTGCTTAAATTCAGACATTTTAGAGCATTTTAATATAAGAGTATTAATTTATGTCGCGATGATGTAGATTGCGAAGCATATGTTTAACAAGACTACATGTATAATTGAATTTTTATAGAAATGGGAAATAGGATTGATATAGAACTACGCAAATGATTGCACGCTTCTTTAAAAATAATTATTACGTGTTTACATACATTATAAAAATGTCTTGAAATGTATGGAGCCACAGAAATTGGCAAATATCAACAACCTTAACGTAATAAAAAGATGAAACCTCATAATTTTGGGAATTAAAACATTTTAAACTTGTTCACGTAAATGGTCAAACTATAATGACACAATGTTAAATTTAGGATTTTCCTTAAAATTGCAACACATTTGTATGATATTATGCCTCAAGAGCTAATGTTATAGTCCAAAGTTTCAAGAGTGTATTTCGTAAAACAAATAAATAAATAAATAATAATAATAATGATATTTTGCGTAAATGATACCATAACATAAAATGTTTGCAAAGAAGCCTAACTTACCTTGTATTTAACTTAAGTCATTATAACTTTCCTATGATTTCGTCGTTCATAATTCACAATATTTTGTAATCTTTAATGGATGAAAGCTGAAATTTTTTTCTTTATGTATCAGGATCCAAACATCAAAACTTCGTGGATGGTATCATTGTGATGATTAAGGTACTGTGATGATCGTGGTATCATAGGTTTGGCAAAATATTGACAAACCTGCTTCAGCTTGGTGTCTCCATAAATCTTCGTCATTCCTAAAGTCTATAATTATTGCAATCACAGAAAATAACTATAGAAACTTTGAATTCAAAGGCGATATGTTTTAAGACTTAATATGGGCTAAAAATCAGAAAAATTGATTTGAGGAATAAGTGTTTAACAAAAAACCTTCTTTTCAAAAATCATTTCTGACAAAATGAATTGAATTCTTATTTTTACGAAATTTATTTACAATCACTTATGCCTTGCACATCCTTATAATATACCGAGCAAAACTATTTAAAAATAATAAACGAACGAATTAAATATGAATCACTCTAATCAATATTGCAAAACTAATGTGTCGCAGTAATTCTTTAATTTCCAAATTTAAAAGCAGAGAAAAATATTAAAGTAGATATTTTCTAAGGTAAGTGTAAAAATAAATTTTTAAGTTTTGCACAATCTTTTGATTAATAATAATTAGCAATCGTTCTTAATGTGCACAATTTTTTTTCGTCAAAAATATGACTTCAAAGGGACTACGACTAAAGGAAAATATTACTTCAAAAGAACATACTATTTTTAAGAGAACGAGTTTATCAATGAAGCACTCAGATTCGAAGTTTTAAAAATCCTAAAGAATAAAAACAAATATGAAAGTTTTCGAATTTAAGTTGAATTTCAATTATTCATCTTTCTAGAAAATAAAAACCTCGGTTGCAATGAGATTTCCTAAATTTTTAAAACAAATTTTAACCCTTGAAAGTCAGATGCTTTCGGGTAAATTTCGTGCAACTACTTTTAATTTTTTACATCATTAAAAGTAGCTCGTTAACTTTTTCCTCAATCCAATAAAGAAACATTAAAATTTGATTGTGTTCAAAACACATTGGTTCTTAGTTATTTTTTTCAACTTACTAAAGAAATAATTAAATAATTATATAATTTCGAAGAATGGAAAAAAGACACTTTATTATACAGTAGGACGTATTAATAATAGTATTTACCTTTCATTTCTTTTAATATCACTAAGTCTCATAACCTTTATACCACTTAAAAAAACTCAATTATTTTAAATATCCATATTTAAACAACATACATACCTCTGATGTATTGTTTATATCTAGATTGCTCAATATATATTTCAGCTCATCTTCTGATATTTTGCTGTCTTCTTCGGGAGTATTCGGTGAAAGATAATAGAAAGCAACAACTAACAACAGTCCAAGGGCTCCTGATGACAAAAGAAAAAGAAATGCAAATGAAAAGAAAAATACAGTTTATCCTCCTTATATAAAGCTTGCTAGAGGATTAAAGACTTTGAGAATGACGAAGATTTATGGAGACACCAAGCTGAAGCATGTTTGGCAATGTTTGCAAAACTTATGATACCACGATTATCACAGTACCTTAATCATCACAATGATACCATCCACGAAGTTTTGATGTTTGTGGATCTTGATACATAAAGAAAAATATTTCAGCTTTCATCCATCAAATTACAAAATAATCTGAATTAAGAACGAGGAAAGTCATAGGAAAGATATAATGACTTAAGTTAAATACAAGGTAAGTTAGGTTTCTTTGCAAACATTTTAATGTTATGGTATCATTTACGCAAAATATCATTACTACTATTATTAATTATTTATTTATTTATGTCACAAATTGCACACTTGAAACTTTGGATTATAACATTAGTTCCTGAAGCATAAAATCATGCAAATGCTTTGCAATTTTAAAGAAAATCCTAAACTTAACATTGTGTCATTACAGTTTGACCATTTACGTGAATAAGTTTAAAATGTTTTAATTCGCACAATCATAAGGTTTAAACTTTTTTATCACTTTAAGGCTGTAAAAAATTTGCAAATTACTGTGGCTCCATAAATATCAAAAAGTTTTTAGAATGTATGTAGATACGTGATAACTATTTTTAAAATTGTGCACTAACATTAGCGTAGTTCTTCTTTATAAATCCTATTCCCCATTTCCATAAAAATTAATTTATTGATGTAGTCTTGTTAAACATATGCATTGTCTATCAGGATATAAATTCACACTCACTTTTAAATCACAATACTCTAAAATGTTCAAATTGGAATAGTTGTTCGTAATAATCATTTCTGTTAAAACATTTATTCATTTATATGTAAACAATTGTTTAAGAACAACGATACTTCTTAATTCGATATACAAATTATGTGATAAATGATATCATTAAAACTGAAATAGATCATTATATAAGGTCAGCGCAAAATTTACATGCATAATTTCAAAAATGTGACAGAGGTTTAGATTAGTATTCATCAAACTTAAGAAGCCATTTGAGCAGCAGTTTTAAATCCTACAGTGAGCTATCAATTCATAATTTTTTTTCATTAATCTTGTATTGGGTTTATTTTGAGTGTTAACACCACCTGCTGAAATTATTTCCGCTAGTTATTACTGGGCTAGATGATCGCTGGTATATGTTTGGACAATTAGTTTTTGTTTTCTCATTTCTGTCCATCTTATAGCTCAGATTGTTCTAGTAATATGTCACAAATGTCTAATATGTCTAAATGTGAAAATGTCTAAACATCAAATATATCTAGAAAAGAAAATTCACCATTTTTGTGACCATTTCATACATAAAAATGTTACATTCCTATTGCGTATGTTTATTACATTTCTGTGTTCTTTTTAACCCCCAAACAATCTTATTATTTTCAAAAAAACGTTCATAAAAGTGACAATTTTTTACTCAAGAAAATTATGTAAAAAAGTGCATAGACAATATATAATGTATTCATTTTTGGTTTTTAGAATTTTTTTACCCTGAAATTTAAATCTTAATATGTACTCCATATGTCCATGTTACTCTGACTCTCTAATGTATACAATGTTGGAAAATATTTTATTACAGAGCACAAACCCCGTGTATTCATAATAATCATGAGTGGGTGAGCAAAGAGTATGAAATACATATCATAAATGCAAATATTTGGATAATGCTGACATAAAGTTTAAAATAAGCTAACTATCTCCAGTTACATTAAATATAGTCGTGTGCAGCCATCTAGTGCGCAAATTTGGAAATAAAAAAATACGGACATAAGGGATCATTATATTTAAACCTTTTTGGTACATTAATTTTAAACGCTTTAGCCCGGAAATATTACGAGCACGAGAAGTAGGAGACGATTTTGACGGGTGCGAGAGGGAAGGGGTTAAGAATATTTCTTGAAATAACTCACCAAAAACATAGAATACAGCAGGCCAACCTCCTAGAAAGCCACTATCACATAGTATTCCACATATCAGCCCACCAATCACGCAGCCTCCTGGATATCCGGAGAACACGACAGAACTCAAAATTCCTTTCTCCGGTGAGGGAAACCAATTTGCCATAAGACAATTCATTGCTGGTTGTTGCACGCCCTTTAAAAAAATAGCGCTATAAAAATGCATATAATGACAATAAAGAACAATGCCATTTGCATTTATTATACATTTTACATTTTATGTTTAAAAAACCTCTTATTTTTGTATGATTAGGGTAAAACTTTGTATACTATTAAGTAATATGATTATGAAATAGATTGGAAATTGAGTGTAGATGGATGTAGGAGAAGTTTCGAAACCTCATCGAATAGTATATTGGTATGGGTTTTATCCACGTCGCTATATCTGATTTGTTTTATTTGTGTCAAGGGAGTTTCGGTATTTTTGTTTAAGCGGACACTTTGAGCCTTTTTTTCGCGTTTAAAATTACCTATTAGTTAATAAAAGTATAATTATCGGACTTTAGATATTCATGAAGAGTTTTAATTAATTAACAGGGTACGAAAAAGTGAACTGCGCTTTTATTTTGAAAAAAAGCTTCTCTTTTTTATATTTTGTAAATTTAAAAAAAAAAAAAAATTGGTTCAAGGTAGCCTTTGCTCCAGGCAACATTGGACCACGAAATTATTTTTATAAAAATAGAATAGACTCTATAGTAATACTATTGTAATCCATTGCACAAGTACCTACCAACGAAATAATACTGCTAATTAGCAAAAAGAAAAACTATTCTTCATAGAAAAAATCAACCTCTCTTGAACTCCCTTAGCGCTGAATATTTTATTTCATTACCAACGTTGAACAGCTGACCTAATTTTGGGTTTACGACTACTAATGTTCCACTCCGTAGTCTTGTAATCTTGAACCCTGCCCAGAAGACAAGGGAACTCCTTGATCAAATATTGGGAGATTTGATTTTTCAGAGGGCTTTTTTATGAAACTAACCCGCATTTGCGTTATATGAAGAGGAAAACCACGAAGCCTACCATGGTTAGCCTAACGGCAACGGGACTCTAACCCATGATCCGTCTACTACTGCGGCTATTTTACGTCAGCACTGTGATCGGTGCGAGACCGGTGCAGAATTCGTATCGACTAGCCATTGCTTGGATTCGAACCTGGTTCACTTCATTGGAGATGGAATGCTCTATCCCCTGCTCCACCATGCCTCTGCTCTGAATGTTAATTGATTTGATTTGATCATTTACGTCGCACTAGAGCTGCACAATGGGCTATTGGCGACGGTCTGGGAAACATCCCTGAGGATGATCCGAAGACATGCCATCACAATTTTGATCCTCTGCAGAGGGGATGGCACCCCCGCTTCGGTAGCCCAACGACCTGCACGCGAAGTCGAGCACTTTACGGTAGCACAGTTTAACGAGGACCAATACCGCACACCCTCGGTCCCTACGCAGACTGATCCAAGTGGTCACCCACCCGCACACTGACCGCAGCCAGTGATGCTTGCTGAATGTTAACAAAAACTATTTCTGGCACTATTTTCTCTTTCTCATAAAATCACGATGCACGTAATAGTGCCATTTGAATCCTGGCCCTTGCTTCGGAGATCACCTTACTCATGAGTTGTTATTTATGCGGCATATAAACTTTCAAAACAAAACAGTTAAGATTGCCCACCTTATTTGAGTTGTTCAGTATTGCTTACATGAACATAGAGAGTAATTTATTCCAATGATTTGAAAAGTAAAGCCGAGAAAAATGGTGGAAGTGAAGGTATGATTACCGTTCTCAGTTTCAGGGATTGAAACATATTCGCTCCCAGTTTCAAAATTAGTCACAAAACGTGTCACTGCGAATTGAGAATAACTATAAAATAAAATTTTTAAAAAAAACAACCCAATTGTGATTCAACGTGGTGCATCCCGAGTAAAAAATTGAATGCTTGTTCAAATATTTTAGTTGGATTGATCTGACATAAAATAGAGTTTGATAGTTTTAAATTTAACATTGCAATCTGTTGACAAATTTTAAAAGTAGTTGAAGCAATTGGTGATAAAATGACGTTGTTTCTAAGGTAGAACCTAGCAAGGTAGAATAGTACATTTCTGTAAATATTTTTTCTTTTCTTGACTTCTCAAACCATCAATCATTTTTCAGAAAATGATAACAAAATACATGATAACAATGATACATGATACACGATAGCATGATCCGAATACATGATAACAAAAAAATAAATTATTTGAAAAGAAACAACCTTATGCTGAATTATTTTGGAAATATTTTACCTGTGAAACACCTTTTATAAACTGGATTCCCAACAAAGCAAAAGGTCCAAAATCAGCTAGTACAGGAGACAAGATATTGCTGAGTGAAGCCAAAAGAATACTTATTAACAATACTTGTCTTGCACCGAATAATTCTGCCATTCTGCCTCCCGGTGTCTGACTTATCATAAACCCAAAGAAACTAATGCTTGATATTAGGCCTTGAGTTTCACTGTTCCATGTAAAATGGCCTCCACCCTAATAAATAAATAAATAGTTTGTTTACTAAAATATCTAAAAATCCTGGTTTGCTAAAAATTCTGGTTAACACAGAAATTCACAAAGAAAACTTTGGGATACAGGGATAATATTTGAATAGTTGAACCATACTATCGTGGACTTTTGTAAAAACTGCAGTTGATGATCAAACTGAACTGCACTAGCGCACTTTGAGGATTATTACATTTTAAGAATTATTTTAGGAATTAGGATTATTTTAGATATGTCAGTTGAAAACAAAGAAGAAGGTAATTTTGTAGAAAACTGTCTTTTATTTTCAATTTTGTGATGAATTTTAATTTTAGAAGTTGTTTAAATTTTTTTGGAACTAATTTACTACAGTTAATTAAACGTATCCAATAAGAAGAATTGTCGGAAACATTTCTTCAAGAACCATATTATTGGCATAATTTGCTGAAACTTTCATTGCAGGTTTTTAAATTTTCTGCAATTTGATGATAAGCCATAGTTTTGAATATTTAAGTTCAGAAAGGATGATTCAGTATAGTTCAGTTTAATGGCTTACTGAAGTTGTAAAAATTGTGATTAAACAACAATCAATATTTTTAACAGCGCTTCATAATTCCTATAACATTTAGATTTTATTTTATTGCCAGGGTTTGTGAGTTCAACCCTCACTATTGGTTTTTGAAGTAGCATGCTTGTCGATTCAAGAGCACGTACCCTCATTTCTAAGAAAAACCGAAATTCTTCAAAAGTCGGCATTTTTTTCCAAAATTTCTTATCTTTAATTCTTAGATTAATTAATATTTTAAACACACTACCAATTTTCGTATATTTTATTCAATTTGGAAATATAAAGATTATTTTTTCGGTTAAATATTAATTAACTATTAGTTGTTTTCCTTCTAAATTTAAGAAAAACTTGAATAGGTTCCTTACATGATACTGCAATTTGTGGTCACTATCAGCAACATACAATGCAATAGGGGATCTTATCCAATTCAATGCCCACGTGACAATGGCAGCCAGTTCCCCATTGTTAACTAGTGTTATCATTAATATGAAATTTCTTTTCTTCATAATTTCTAGGTTTTATTTCTTAGACTAATTAATTTTTTAAACAATTATTAATTTTTGCATATTTTAATTTGCAAATATAAAAATTATTTTTTGTTTAAATATTAATTATTAGTTTTTTGATTTATAAGAGTTCAATTATTAACATTATTATATTATTAAATGCAGGAAAAACTTGAACAGTTTATTCACATGGCGGAGCAACTTGTGTTTGTCATCAACAATGAGCAATAACGGAATAGGGCATTCCGTCCAGTTAAATGCCCCCATATGAATGAAAAACAGTTCCTCAGTGTTTTTATGAATATATAATTTCTTTTCTACAAAATGTCTTGACTTAATTCCTTAGACTAATTAATTTTCGAAACAATTATTCATTTTTTCACATTTTAATTTGCAAATATAAATTTTTTTTTTGTTTAAATATTAATTAACTATTTTTTTCTCGTAAAAATTCAATTATTATTTTTTTTTATTAAAGAAAATGCAAGAATAACGTGAATAGGTTACTCACATGGTGATGCAATTTGTGTTCACCGTCAACAACGAGCAATAACGGTACAGGACATTCCGTCCAGTTAGATGTCCCCACGTCAATGGAACTAGACTGATTTACCATAGCCACTAAGCCCATACTTAAATTCATTCTCTGGCATGTTATCACTGCAGCTGTTGAAAACCCGAGTAGGACTATAATGTATCGACTTGGTATTAAACTTCCCTTTTCTGAAAATAAAGTAAAACAATTGAATTATTTGCTTTCCCAAGCACTTAAGGACAGTTAATTTGACTACTTAAAATGCAAAATTAAAGTTAAAGAATAAGCATGTAAAACATTCGAAAATAAAAAAAAATCCTTTAGTTTTTTACAGTAATATGAAAAAATATCGAATCTAACGGAGGAATAATACCGAAATATTGAGCATGCAAAGAATAACGAGCATACAACAAGAAAAAAATTCTGGTACAATACTATGCAGTATGTTAATTACATTTCTGGTTCACAAACAACAAAATAACCCTTGTTAACTGAAATATATGGTATTTGAATAATTTATTTGGTAATTTTTAAGTTCATATTGTAACTGTTTACTGTAAATTATGGTTATCAAAATTATAGTTTGTTTTATCACATATTTAGTAAACATTCAAAACAGATATGTATATTTAAACGAATAAATGGCTTTCATACCTTTCTCTAGAGAAGCATGATTAAAATTATCAAATTTTACCGTAATCCCTATATGTTATATTTAATTATACCTAAATCCTTACCAAAGCTCTTTGGTAAAACTAATCGTGCTTTTCGGTGATCCCATAGAGCCAGAAACACGGTAAATTTTACCATATATTGGAAGTTTTGATCATATTCTGATGGTTTGTTAAATTTTTCCTTGTGCAGAAAGATAATTTTTTTTTATGTTTTATAATGTGAGGCATTATTAAAGACCTTTTTATTGCAGTAAAAATAACATCAAAATAAAATTTAAAAAATTCAACAATAGTTTGTTAAATTTTTCTTTGTGCATTATGTTTTGTAATGTGAGGCATTATTATTAAAGCACTTTTTATTGCAGTAAAAATAACATCAAAATAAAATTTAAAAAATTCAAAAAACTAAAATTCTGAATCGAATGAAACGAAGTTTAATACAATAGGACAAGAAGTTAAAAAGATGTAAGGATTTTATGTACAAATGTACTGTACATATTTACGCATCTTACAGTGCTATACAGTCTGGTTGGTAAGACGTAGGGCTCGTCTTCGTGAGCACATAAGTTCGAATTCAGCAGGCCGATGAATACCTGTGTATTAAATGATGATTGGTGCACGTTAAATCTGTTGTGGTCACTAAGTCCTCCCTGTTCCCGTAATTAATGCCTTTTGGGGTACTGAATTCGAGATTGATCGTTCCCTGGTTCAGGACAAAATTACGATCTATGGATGAACGAATGAAGGTTGATAGAGACCTTCCCACAAAACGGGCTGTGACGTGTGCATGGTTGAAATCTTACTCTTAGCCATAGACGGTACCACTGAAAAAACAAGAAACAATCCCTCTGTCTTAAATGAATTGGTCTATATCCATTAAATCTGATGAAACAACAAATTTGCCTACAAAGAGCAACTATTTTACCACAGCATGGTTCATCTTCACTGAGAAATAACTCTCGAGGAGGGTGTGCCAGTTTGTTTTGTTATTGATTCGCCATAATGTAATCATCCTCAAAAAGGTAACACATGGCAATCCAAGAGTAATTTTTGTTAAAAATAGACATAAACCGCTTTTCCCCCTTGATCTTCAATGGTGAATCAGCGAACAGCGGGCGAAACCACCTTGTCATGTTAAAGTTTTAAATTATGCCTACAATATTTACTCAATTATCATGTTTTTCAAAGCCATAATAAGTTGTTTTTAACAGAAGCAATATTTTTTCGTTATTTTTTCTTCAAAAATACCAAGTTTCCCCCCTGAAGAAATATAATCCTTTTTGTATTTTTTTTATAAACATAGAGATTAAGAGATATACAGGTTGGGGTTCACAATTGATCTTTAAGTGAAGACAAAACAAAGACGCTATCTAAATGTAACAAATCACAATTAAGAATGGGGTGTACAAAACATCTAAACCTGTTTCATTGCAAGTTCAATATTAATATTTTTTAATTTTTTTTAATTATTAAAGATAAGACAAAAAATTATTTTCACCTCTTCTTGCTTTTCCTGATGTTGACACATCTTCACACAGCTCTTTACATGGTATTTCTGTCGCGATGTCCATGACTTGTTACTCTTGCATTGACGCTACGTTCACAGAATAAAAAATGCTAGTTGCATACTTGAAAGCAATATGTATTTAACCAAACATTAACATAGTTCACTGAAACTTATTTATCATGACTACTTCCCTAAAAATTAATTATCATATCGAAATAATAACGTAATTCCGTAAAAATTATTTAACAGCAACAAATAATGATTTAACTTGCTGGAATGTGACTATGTGTTCTTTTCCGTGTTACCGAAGCTTGCAATTTTATAGAATCAATGTCGGGTAACTTTAGTCACAGTTAATTGTCGTGATATATATACATATTAATGCTATTAAAATTTATGATCGTCATTATAATTTACTAACGTTATTTCACATGGTGACTAAGCATATAAATAACACGATAAATGTCATTTTTCATTGTGAAATAAATGTATGTTGTTGGTAGTTGTGTTGTCCATTACGTCAAATTTGACTTTAATAATTTTTCGTCCAATCATTTTACATTGAAGTTTGTTGCAGGGAAATAAAAAAGTTATATCATTGATTACTACCTTACCTTGGTATTCAATAAAAACTCTCTCTTTTTTAATTTTTGGATAATGTTTCCGTCACTATAGGAATTACTCGTAAATCTTTTATGTTTGAGCAATTGCTTATCGACTTTATTTCTCGTTCTGCATCTCAAGAAGTTTTGAATTTTGATTTGAATATAGCTTAAAGGAACGGCAAAGGAAATAGTTAAAAACATAAATTTAACCTATGTTTTATGAAGTATGGATAATTTACTAAATTTGTCAAAACCTAAAATAATTACATGTATAAAATATAAATTTGTTGTTAGCATATTTAAATACCGTCAAATCTCGCTAACACGAACTTAGCAGGACTATCGCAATTATTTAATGTTAACAAGATTTCATCTTATTCTATACGTCATGAAAACAATTTATGACGTATTATTGATGCAGATTACGTACTAGAGCAGTAGTGCCTCAGGGGATAGAGCTTTCGTCTCCGAATGAGGTGAACAGGTTTCGAATCCTTCCGATGACTGGTCGAAACTAATTCCGCAGCCAGCTTGCCTCGACCGCAGAGCTGACCCAAAATATCCTCAGTGGTAAACGGATCGTGGGTTAGAGTCCTTTTGTAGTCTGATTAACCGAGGGAGGTTTTTGTGATTTTCCTCTCCATGTAACGCAAATGTAACGTTATTTCTATCAAAAAAACCTTTTTTTTTCATTGGTAGCCGTGAACACAAATTTGGGTCGGCTGTTTAACCATGGTTATAAAATAAAATAAAATAAAATAAAATAAAATAAAATAAAATAAAATAAAATAAAATATTATGCACTACATTAACGCATGTAAACCTTACTCTCATGTTCACACAAATAAAAATAAACTTAAAAACTTTAGCCATTTGTTTAAATATTTCATTCATTTGCCCTCTGCTACTTCTTACAAAAGCGGAAAATAGAAATAATGAGTGTTAAAATGAATATTTGGCACTTTATTCCCGTGCTTCTTATCTGTGCTGTGTCCAGTTTTCTTCCATGTTAAACGATTTAACATGTTAACCTCACGTTAAACATGTATAATACAATAAAAATTGATTGCTGATTCACGGGACCAAACATGTGTTTCATGTAAAGTAATACGTATAATAATGACGTTGGATAGTATATGACTTAATTTTTTCAATAAGTTTGTTTGAAAACAATTACACATTTTCTTCTCAAATTTCTTTTAAAATATTGAAGCGACCTTTAATTTTCAGAAATTTGATTTTAGCCTTTTTATCATTGTGTTGATTTTGAAGTTAGCTTGATCATAACATTTAGAAATAGTAGATTTAAAAGAACATACACGAAATACATAAAAAATTAAATCTGGTGTCGCAAAAGCTAATACGCAGATCTCGTCGCTGTTAGAGTTCTAGATTTTAATAGCACAGGTCATTATGAATGTTTTTATACTGGCTTAATTTAACATAATGATTACTTTATAGAACAAATAGTTATTCTTGAATAAAAGGAGCATTTATACAATCAATATAGGCCGGGATAGCTTGGTTGGTAGGGCACTGGGCCCACGTCCAAGAGGCCGTGGGTATCCATCCTAGCTGGTCGAAGAGTCCTTGTGTAGTAAATGGTGACTGATGCACATTAAGGTCTGGTTTCTTAGGACAAGCGCCTTATCTGGGCGTCAGCGGGACGTCAACGTCACGCTGACGCCAACAAAATGCTGGTTTGTTAGCTCAAAGCCTGGTTTCTTAGAACTAGCGCCTTATCTGGGCGTCAGCGGAAAGTTGACGTAGATCTGACGCCAAAAAAATACTTTTCTGTTAGCTCAGC